GTTCAACCATACGCAAAAATTACTTTAGACAAACATTTGTGTCTTTTTTTATTAAGTGTGTTGAAATTTCTTCTTCTGCATTCTACTGTACGGACGGAAATTTACTTTCCCTTCAGCCTGAGGCTTATTCATTTCACTTTTGGTGTGAAAAGGCTTTTATATTTGCCAAAAATAGAACTTTTTTATTTTAAAAACAAACAAGCAAGCCCTGTCCAGATTTTAAAAGTAGCGCAAAAGTAACGTAACGCATTACTTTCCATAAAGAAGTAACTAAGTAACGTAATTAGTTACTTTTTTTATGGAGTAATGCAATATTGTAATGCATTACTTTTAAAAGTAACTTTCCCCAAAACTGTGCACAAATAACTTTATTGTGAGTATTTGGTTGAATTTTGATGGTTTCATGGCCATCAATAACATTCACAACATGAAACATTGAGGTTTGTGGTTCTGATTGCAAGTGAACCCGCATTTATTGTATACCCATATTTTCTTTTACCTTGCATAGTTTTCTTCATGGTTTTCAAAGATGAAGTCATGTTATGTAAACTGCCCATGTTGACATCTGCTTTCTTTGCCAAGCTTCTACCAAGTGACATACACAAGAAAACATAAGGGAGGTGTTAATTTTACACAACTCCAGTTAATTGTTTGCATTCACCATTGTTTTTTAGCCTTTTGATTTCCTGATCTCTGGTAAGATGATGTCTGGTAAGAAGTAAATAAACTAAACTGGAACCAACACCTGAATCTTTTCATTTCAGATATACAAACACACACACACACACACACACACACACACACACAAACACACGCAGTGTTCAGTCTTAATTAGAGAGAATGAAAGGATTGTGTGTGGGCTGGAGGAGGGAAATGAGTGTAGAGCACTGCTGAAAGTGATCCCTGTCACACACAGGATGTCTGCTCACTTTCTCCTAAACATGTTATATGTCTCACACACACACGACAGGTTAAGGAACGATTACCCAGGTGGTCTTTCCTCAACTGCTCCGTCTCTCCCCCAGCAGAATGTCAGTTTCAATTCCCTGGCTCAATTCCCCAGTCCCTTACCCAAATCATCATGCGAACCTCAGATTGCTTAAATATGGGCCCGTGAATCTGATACTCTGTTGGGTTTTGAGTCTTGATGGAGGTGCTGAGAGCCGGCTGATGAGGGGGCCCAGCCGTCCGCCATATTGCCGCCCAGTATGCCGTGTCATGTTCTCTGAACAATCGCCCGTGTCCTTCTAGTTGGGTAAACAACAGAGGCTGTCAGCCGGTGTCAGGTTTGGGCTTTTCAAAGCAAAAGAAGGAGAATGACAGATGACTGCTCTGAGTGTAGCCGACACTTTGCTGATAATGGTGATCTGAGTGCTGATACGGAGAGGCAGAGTGCGAGATATACCCGGTAAAACATACAGAACCCACAGTTTTGACAAACACACTGCTGGGAAAGACTGCGAGGCGCTTTCAGTGAGATTCCCCGGCTCGCTTGATTCTCGGATTCATCCGTGGCGGAATTTGACATGTGTTGAGGTTGAATCACATCCACGATTGTGAGTTTGCAATGAAAAGCTGAATTCAAGCCTCTTTCGACCGCATAAAAATTCAATAAATAAATGAAAGATGTAACTGGATAGAATGGAAATAAGCCAAAGTAGCAGTGAGCCAATAATAAGTAATAACAATAATATTTGTTCAAATAATAAGATAAAAGATTCTTTATTCCTGTGTTAATATTTTTTTAAGGTGGTTCACATAAAGTGTTGATTTCCCAAATCTTTCAAAAAAAAAAAATCTGAATTAACTTGAAACGTGTAATATTTGTTCCTCTGCTTGTCAATTAGGTTTACATTTCTGGATGAAGTTGTAAAAATTACAAATAGCTATTAATTGGTGGGAATTAATTTTTTTGGGGAAAAGTAATTTATTTTGTGCATAGGAGTGAGTCAATAATAAATAATAACAATAATAATATTTGTTTAAAAAAATAAGATAAGAGATGCTTTATTCCTGTGTTAAGAAAGTTAAATATTTTAGTAATTTAATTTAAAGGTGGTTCACAAAGTGTTGATTTACAATATAATAAAAAAAATAAATATATATATATAAATATAAAAATAATATTAATTCACCTTTAAAAAAAAAAACAAGCAAATACTTGTTCTTCTATTTGTCCATCAGGTACACATTTCAGGAATAAATTGTTGAAATTACAATTTTAATTACAAATGCTAATTACAATAACATTTGTGTAAAATTATAAAAGTGATCTAAAAGTAATTTAATTTGTGCCAAAGTAGGATTGAATCAATAATAAGTAGCAATAATATTATTATTTGTTCAAATGAGGTGGAAAATGCTTTATTCATGTGTTAAGAAATAAATAATTTACTTTCTTTTATAAATAAATTCAATACATTAAAAACATTTTCAGTTAATTTTAGTACAAAATAATTAAAATAAACCTCTGTTTGACCATCAGGTTCCAATGTCAGGACTAAATTGTAAAATCTACAGTTAATATTCTGGTGGGAATTAAATTTTCTGAAGAAGAAAAAAACATTTAATGATAGAAAATCTGGTCAGTGTCAGCTCTGAGATGCACAGATGAAGTGATCGTATTTAATGTCAGCCGTTCAGATTCCTTGGTGTAAATCAGCTGACCCTTTCACAAACTGCTTGATGAATTAAGCTCCAACACTTTCATTAAATTGAACTCAAACTAATCTGTTCAAGGTTCATGGGGTTGACAAGCCACAAAAAAACAACATGTCTGACACGGCCGGCACGAGCGTACCTGTAACCTGAGTCGAGGGACGGTGGCGTGCCAAAACTCAGCAACCCTCACGCTGAGAAAGAGTCCAGTTAGACCGGATCTCCACCCCACACATCAGCTCTCCTCACCCCTCGAGTGCTGGCCAGGCCTGCACAGTGGGGTCCCTCCATCTGGACACATTTCTACTCTGACAGGAGACATGGCTGCATTAAAGAACATATTCACATACGGCCCACTCAGGACTGTCACTGCTGGAGATGGAGAGCAGACTGGAGGACCGGACTGTGCGGAGAGAGAGAGAGAGAGAAATCTGGGATTTTGCTTGAGCACTACAGAACTCTCATTCTATAGCACATCTGTCAACCATTATGGACCCGGGCCCTCAGCTCCTCCTACACATGGAATGATCGTTTCTGTTTAAAATAAAGAAAAGGCTGCACATTATGCAGATTAAATTACCAAAGATGTATTCTGAATGAATTATATTAATGTTTATATGACAATGAGCATTTTAAAGAGTTATAAGCTACATGTTAGTCTTATTGACACCAAATTTAAGATGTAACAGCATGGTTTACATAACACATTGTATATGATAAAATGCATTTGTTAAGTGCAGTACAGAATTATAAATAATAAAAAAAATTGTTAGTCCTAAAAAGGGGGGGAATACCTTAACTGATGTCAAAAGGAGTTATAAAGTTATTAAAGAAGCTATAAAGTAAATAAAGTAAACTTAGCGAATGTAAAATGTGGTTTAACAAATGTAATAAAACATTTTACAAGTTATCTCGTAAAAATGAAACTTTTTATGAGGAACATAACAACTACTGCAAATGGATATTTATGAATAGATAATTAGCGACCTCTTGTGGACACAGTATAGAAAATAGAAATGGCAAGGATTGGTTTGACATCAAATGTAAATTTAGAAAGTCCGGATTTTTTGTCTTCATTTTGTCATTTTGGTAGATTAAATTTTAAGCAAGTAAATGTAAAATAAATTAAGTTAAAATATATAAAAAAAAAAGTTAAAAGGAGAATTTGTCTGTGGTAGGTTTGTGATACTCCAAATTTCTTTTTCTTTCTTTCTTTCTGTCTTTCTTTCTTTCTGTCTTTCATGCAATTGGGTGAACAACTGAACCAATCCGATTCAAACGCCTCTCTGATTGGAAGGCGGAAAACTGCCAATCATTTCTAAAATGGGAGGAGCTTAGGTTCTACACCGAAACCAGTGGTCAGTTACATTAAAGCGTCCTAAAGTAAAGAGCTCCGTATTATTACCACTGTAAACCCGCTTAACTACCCCATGCAGAAGAGGTTTAGATGTATTCGATTAATATTACCATCATTACTAAATGTATTATTATTAATGCATTTTTTTTTCATTTACCTCAATAAATGACCGTAAATATTTCTGTGATATATTTTTTTAAAGTAATAAAAAAATAAATACAAAATAAATAAATACATACATACATAAATACATACGCACACATGTGTGCATCCTCCTTAAACGTGGGTGGGTCTAAAGATCCGCATTAATACTAATATTCTACTCCTTAATTTAGGTTCAATGCAGTTATAGAGCCTAAACCAGACACTGTGCATAGAATTATGATTATTATTATTATAACAACAACAATAATAATAATAATAAACCAAAAATATAAAATAACTTATACTTTTGGCCTAAAGGTCGTTTCTACCATTATATGACACCTATAAATCTGGATCACTGAACTCAAGCTGTTGGGTTTATACCTGTTTTTATACAGTCTATGGTTTATACAGAAGATGCACAAAATGAGTGGCGCATGCGCCCTCCAGTGTCATCCGACAATACTACATTTGCAACGTCAACACAACGTACAGATATTTCCCGTCTATCTTTCCTAAACGCTAAAGAAGTTTATATATACAATAAATCACACGTTCTTTTTTAACTGACAAAACTGGCATCAAAAACTGCAAAGGTGGCAATATGAATGCAAATTATTCCAAATATAGTATTAGCCGCTAGTAATTCCAAGGCTGTGACACATCTGAACCATAGATCTGAACAGGTCCTGCCCTTAAAAAAAAAAGAAGAAGAAGAAGAAGAAAAAACAGTCCGTGTGCACAGAGAAATTCAGCCATGTCTTGCTCTCAGGATGCGCCTTTAAGGATTCTTCCCCCGGCTTTCCTGAAATGACCTCTTCCCTTTGAAACCACTTCCTCCCCTTCTCCCAATCGGCCATGTTTAATTTGACTCATTCATGAAAAGTTATGTACACACAACAGTAAAGCCATGACCGTGAAAGCTACACAGTGAGCGATGCTCGAGTACTGAACTGCATTGATCCTCCGTGTGGATGCAGCGCGTTGTTTGTACAGACTGAGCATTAATCAGCTGCAGTGGGAATAAACAATAGCGCGTGAGGCTTCGCCAGGTGGGCACGCGCACTTACCAAATTCACACCAGTTGGCATAGAGAGAATAGCATTTAATATAACAATCATTCATAATATTAGCCTGCTCGGTCCGTGACTAAGAAAGTTTAGTTCGTGGGAAATGATACGTCGTGGATATAAGCGGTGACTTCACTGGCTACGACGTATTGTTGCCATTGTTTGTCTAAGAAATTCCTGGTTCCTCATGGACACATCGCTTGATACATTAAGAGCAAACAAACGCATACATTTCAAGGGGCAAATGCTTCTTTAAAAATGTCCGACTTCAGTGTTGGACGTTTATTCTATGTACAATGTAAGTTTTGTATAATGTGATATGTGTAATGTAAAGTTTTCCTCTAAAGGCCTATAATAACAAAAACTGAAAATTCTCATCACTGACTAGTTTCCCTAAGTCCCTTCATGTCAAATGATCTTATTTTAATGCTAAACATATTAATTGGTAATATGAAATACTGTATTAAAACTATTATTAAATGTAGTGTTGTTAAATAGGAAATCATGAGGAAAAAGCAGAATGTGAAAAACAGGAAAGCAGGAGAGACAACGGTTGTCCAAGAGTTTGCAGTGGAAAAAATCATCCGCAGAAGAGTCAACGATGGAAAAGTTGAATACTATCTAAAGTGGAAAGGCTTCACGAAGTGAGTTTCTGGAACAAATGTTGCCCGTGTGTCAGATAATTATATTATGAATATTTACCAAAATATGACATGTCTGTCATTTTTTACCACAGTGCAGAGAATACCTGGGAGCCAGAGGACAACCTGGATTGTCCTGAGCTGATAGAGGAGTTTCTCAGAAACCTAACTGTCTCAGGAGAGACTGAACAAGAGGGGTGTCAGTCTCTAGACCTGGAGGTCCAGCCCAAGCAAGAGTTAACTGAGCTGGATGCCAATATGGTTAGTGTCTTTATATACTGTACTGGTGCACATGCTGTGCCATTTACTTTAACTCCCATAGGACTATTACCTAGGGTGACCATACGTGCCATTTTCCCAGGACGTGTCCTGGCCAGGATTTCTATATTGCCTCAAATATCTAGGTCAGGACTAAATTGTAAAATCTACAGTTAATATTCTGGTGGGAATTAAATTTTCTGAAGAAGAAAAAAACATTTAATGATAGAAAATCTGGTCAGTGTCAGCTCTGAGATGCACAGATGAAGTGATCGTATTTAATGTCAGCCGTTCAGATTCCTTGGTGTAAATCAGCTGACCCTTTCACAAACTGCTTGATGAATTAAGCTCCAACACTTTCATTAAATTGAACTCAAACTAATCTGTTCAAGGTTCATGGGGTTGACAAGCCACAAAAAAACAACATGTCTGACACGGCCGGCACGAGCGTACCTGTAACCTGAGTCGAGGGACGGTGGCGTGCCAAAACTCAGCAACCCTCACGCTGAGAAAGAGTCCAGTTAGACCGGATCTCCACCCCACACATCAGCTCTCCTCACCCCTCGAGTGCTGGCCAGGCCTGCACAGTGGGGTCCCTCCATCTGGACACATTTCTACTCTGACAGGAGACATGGCTGCATTAAAGAACATATTCACATACGGCCCACTCAGGACTGTCACTGCTGGAGATGGAGAGCAGACTGGAGGACCGGACTGTGCGGAGAGAGAGAGAGAGAGAAATCTGGGATTTTGCTTGAGCACTACAGAACTCTCATTCTATAGCACATCTGTCAACCATTATGGACCCGGGCCCTCAGCTCCTCCTACACATTCAAAATGCTCTTGAGGTATTTTGATGTCATACACCGATCTGTCTGCACATGCAAACGAAGCCAAAACCTAGATATTTTAGGCAATATAGAAATCCTGGCCAGGGCGCATCCTGGGAAAATGGCACGTATGGTCACCCTACTATTACCGCACTACAGTGTTTCAAAATAAGCATTTTATACCCCAAAAATACATCAAATTTAATTATGTTAGATAACAAACTGCCAAATACTTGCCATAATATGAATAAATGTCAGTGCATTGTAAAGAACAAAGGGGTCCAATCTTGCTTCTGCAAGACAAGTTTCCACAGAGTTTATCCCTAATTAAACACACCTAAACCAGCTAATCAAGGTCTTCAGGTTTATTAGAGAAGGTGGAGCTAAACTCTGCAGGCTGGCCCTCCGGGGAGCAGGACTAAACACCATTGGTACAGAGTTTTAGTCCTGTACACGCTCTCCAAAAACTGCAGGTTTATTGCTCTTGCCATGTGATATATAATGTATCCCTCTTGTCAGGCTTTATGATAGTTTAGTTCTGTGTCTGGAATCATGCAGGCTCACCAGCAGCCTCAGGAGGAGCTCATTGAGAAGGGTAATGAGGAGGTTGATGATCACAATGCTGAGATCCCAGCAGGCCAATCCAGCAACCCAGAACCAGACTGCATCATCGGATGCACAGACCAACAAGGAGAGCTCATGTTCCTCATCAAGTGGTAAAATTTCTACACTGGACTATATGTGGGCTTTCTTTACACTGCTTTATTCATTTTGAATGCAGTAATGCTATTTTTGTATTTTAATCAATGCATAGAATTTTTTTTTTTTTCTCAGATCATGCATTGATACACACCTAAATGTTAACTTGGCTTTAATGCTTTACATCACATTGCCTGAACTGGCAAACTGTTTAGAAAAGCAACAAGCTGATCAAAATAGCAGCACATTGTTGTCAGGTGCTGACATTTCCACAGTGTCAGAGTTATTATAAAACTAAAACATTACTTGGAATAAAATAAACAATAACTGAAATAAAATGTGGGGGGAAAAATTAATTCTATTCAGCTAGTTGCCAAAGCAGCATTTGTCATTATCATTTTAGGTCAGTGTCAGTTTCATAGCAGTAGTATAAACAGGGCTTTGAGGTTTTGTTAAAGGCGTTTGTCCTGCAGTTTCGATCTTCTGATTTCCTGTTTTCTGTAAAGATCACTGTTTAACCTTTAATCTCGAGTGAGCAATCTCTAGGTCAGGGATCCTCAAATCTGGCCCACGAGATCCACTTTCCACATTTTTGATCAGGGTTGGAGCTAAACTCTGCAGCGCATTGGCCCTCCAGGGCAAGATTTGAGGAACCCTGCTCTAGGT